TTTTAAGTTCCTTAAGCCCTGAACCAGTGCTGCATTTTCTGTTCTATACAATTATTTTTTTTCTTTTTTTTAAATTGTGGCAAGGCCCCATGTAAAATCATATGCCTCTAACATTAGCCTCTAACAATTAAGTGTTAAACAAGTGTTTGTCTTCCTAATATTTCTTTTGTGGGTAGTGCCCAAAGGCACCAATCAGGATTGGAGCCCCATTGTTCTAAGATCTCGACAAACATTTTGGCATCTCCCTCTGTTTTCACTAGGGCACACAGTTCATTTTCGATTACCTGCTGCTTATTTTTTTAACCAGCTATGTGCTGCTTTCCTTGCTACTGAACCAGATATTTTTGGGGCACACCATTTTTCTGTGTTGTGCCCCTTTAATACTACTGAATGGGGAAGAGAGGAGATGGCTGCTCTATTTTCTTTCGTTCTTTCTTTCTCTCTTTCTTTCCTCCAAACTGGAGTTTGACGTATTCCTCCTAGATACTAAATGACCAATCAGACGGTTACTAAGGAGGTAATCTAGCCAATCGGTCAACGTTGCTACCTGTGGGTAATATTTTTAGCCGGGGAGAAAGAAAGAAAGAGAAAAAGAAATACACAAGGCAATTATTTGTTGCTGATTGTGGCTGTTCTCTCTTTCTCCCCCAACTGCTTTTGTATAATCTGCCCATCACACTGTCCCTGAACGGATGTAACACTTTCTCTCCCCCCTTAGCAGGGTGGCACCAGCTGCGGTGAGCCTGGCCTAGTGGCTCATTGTCACGCCTATGGAAATAGGATCTCTGCTCCCCCCCCCCTTTTCTTCTGGCTACCCAGCCCCCTCTGAGTGACAGTTTTCCTCACCCAATCGCTTTTCAAGGATGGCCCTTCCCACCTCCTCTAGCCTCCTTTCCCTTCCTCACCTCCCCCCAAGCTCCTCCTCCCTCCTGCTTTCCTCGCCCTCCCTTTTCTTCTCTCCCTGCCCCCCTCCCAAGGTGACTCAGTGGCAACAGGGCCCCACACTGGGTGGAGGAGGTTACACCGGTGGGTGGTGCTGGACCTGGGCATTGGTGACTGATACCTCTGGCAACCAGTGGCAGTAGACTAGAAGGTGGAGCTGCTCCCTGCGTCACACTGTCTCCCCAGGAGAGGGGGTGGGGGTGGGAGAGCAGGACCAGTTACCCCCCTTTGCCCTTGAGAGCTGCAAAGGGGATGGGGTGAGGGGAGGGTGATCCTAGCAGGCAGCCTCTGCAGTAATATTTCTCTGGGTGGGGGTATAAATGTTTTACTTTGTCCTATTCACCTCACCAGCTCCCTCCGTCCCTCCCTCCCTAACTAGCTCTTCCCTCCCTCTGCCTGCTGAGGCACCCCAGAGATCATGGGAGATGTAGTTCCATGCAGCCTGCCCCCATTACTGAAGGAGTGGGAAGGGGGTGACGTAGGGTGTTGATGCAAGCAGACTCTGACACTGGGAGGAGGGGAGAGATGTAGAGGGCAGACACTCCTCTCTAGCCCCCAGGAGGGACACAAAGGGAAAGGGGGAGGGTATGTGGAAAGGAGGGGAGTGTTGGAAGCATAGGGAGTAGATATATTTATGGGGCAGGTTCACACAGGGAGGTGGGGAGGACGAGATAGTGAGGAGAGAGACTATGGAGCAGGGGAGGAGATAAAGAGCTAAGAAGAGACGCAGGGAGGAGGGGGATGCACAACACCAGGGATGGGGGGGAGTATGATATGCGGAGGAATCGGGATAATCAAGGGAAAGCAGCAGGGGCAGGAAGATTACAGGAGGAAGGGAAGGGAGGTGGAGAAGACAGGCAGGGCAGTGGGAGGTGCAATAGGGCAGAAGGAATCAATCCAACATGTGAAATGAGCATGGGAGGGCTCAAGCAGAGGTAAGGGGGGGGGGCTGTTGGGTGGGAGAGGGAGAGAAGAGGCGGGAGAAGGAGCTTTGGAGTGGGGAGGGGCAGATAGGTATATGTGAGGGAGGACTGAGAGAAGTGTCCAGACGTGGTGATGCGAGAGGGATGGGAGGAGAAGGGGCCAAGCAGGGTGAAGAGGGAGGGACGGGCAGGGGAGCAGACAAAGGTAAGAGGTTGAGAGGGGGGAGCAGGCAGGGGTATGGGAGAAGGGTATGGTGGAGTGTGGGAGGAGAAGGGGCCAGGCGGGGTGGAGGTGGGAGAGATGGGCAGGGGAGCAAGCAGGAGGGAGGGAGAGGCAGGCAGGGTGGGAGTAGCAGGGCTGGGACTAGGCAGG